AAAAAAAAAAAAAAAAACCCGCTTCAACGCCACATTTGTCAGTGTGTTCACTGTTGACCAAAAAGCCTGCTCGATGTGTGGTTGTTTAGTGTGTGTAAGCAGGAGCACGTTAGAGGGTCTCACAGGCTGATTGTTGCAGTCGAACAAGAAAAAGTGCGGTCGAGTCGTATGGCGCACTCTAACGCCTGCTAGCCTGCGAGCTAGTTACCGACCACTTAACAATACGGGTCCACAGGTCTTCGTTCAAATCCACCCTGCGACGTTACGTGGGGTTTAGTAGGCACGTTGCGTGTTTTGACCACATTCGCGCGTTAATTGCAACAAATAAAAGGCTTTGAATAATAAATACGTGGTCGTTTAAAACCGTTACAGCGGTAAATCAGGCAACTGCTAACCGTTAGCCTAACCGTTGCTGCTGATGGATGACGGACAACGTGCTAACCATCCCGCCTTGTTTTGTTTTAACGCAGATAAATCGCAACCACGGCGGACTCAATGGCACAGTGTGTACCGGTGGCGGTGTTCAAGGTTGGTGTTTTCTCCAAATCGCTTATTTATTTGTCCTGTGAGTGTAAATTGCTTGTGTGTGTGTATATAGGCTAACGTTAGCTGTGTGTCTGAACCAGTACCAGCCAGTCCAAACTAACTGCCCTCTTTCTTTCAGCTCGTCTTGGTAGGAGATGGAGGCACCGGGAAAACGACTTTTGTGAAGAGGCACATTACAGGAGAGTTTGAGAAGAAATATGTTGGTCAGTACCTCCATCTTGAGAACAGCAATTACACAACAGTATATTGTAGATAACGAGTTAAAGACGTGTAGGAACTTGACATCTCAAACTAGGACGCATGGAAAATTTTAGTAAACTATGAGGCATCTAGCAGAGCAGGGCCAGGCCAAGCACCTGGCTGGCCCCGGGCCATAATGTGAACTGTGGGCCCCTGCTGAGCCCTCTGCATTCAGATACATCAGTAGTTTTGTACGTGTTCGCCCATAAGTAATAATGCATTGCAGCAACGTTACAGAAAAGCCAGGTTTGAGATAATTTAGGAACACGGGCACTGAGTTCACCAGAGAGCACTAACAAGTGGACTAGGTATCCTGATGGTTTGTCTGTTAATATACTGACCACTATATCAGTAACAAAATGTCAATATCAGTATTGTTCTGGCTATCATTGCAACTACCAAGTTTGATTCTCTGCATTGAGAATTTGTGCTGATCTGGTATTTTTATTATTGCTCTTCGATGTTCTAACATGAAGTGGCACCATTTTGAAAAGGAAATCTTATTCAGAAAGACACAGTCGAGGCACTGCAGTGACGTTTCTGCACATTGCTAAATGGACAATTAAACCTCCTTAATATACACACCTGTTAATGATTTAATATATTGGTCTTCCCTATCTAACACTTAGAATAGTTGATCATTTTTCTGTCTTGTTCTCATACATCCTGTCTTTTTCTTATACTTCTAGCCACTCTGGGAGTAGAGGTGCACCCGCTGGTGTTCCACACCAACAGAGGAGCTATCAAGTACAATGTGTGGGACACAGCTGGTCAGGAGAAGTTTGGAGGCCTGAGAGATGGCTACTACATTCAAGGTGCTCTTCACAATCCTTCATAGGCTGTTCTGGTTACTAAACCCTGAGCAGTATGCCCAATCACTATATATTTGAATTTAAAACCTCCTGCTTTGAGTAGTGTGTTAAAACTCCCTCGCTGTACCTCCACAGCTCAGTGTGCTATCATCATGTTTGACGTCACCTCTCGAGTCACCTATAAGAACGTACCCAACTGGCATCGTGACCTGGTCCGTGTCTGTGAGAACATTCCCATCGTCCTTTGCGGCAACAAGGTGGACATCAAAGATCGGAAAGTCAAAGCCAAGAGCATCGTGTTTCACCGCAAGAAGAACCTGCAGGTAATAACCGCTCACACAACTATCCTGTAGATCCTCAGGCACATATCGGTCACACGTGTGAGTTGTAGAAGGTACTGGAGGCCTTTTGCTTGGTCTGAACGATCATTTCTAATTGCCATTTCTGTCCCCAGTACTATGACATTTCTGCCAAGAGTAACTACAACTTTGAAAAGCCTTTCCTGTGGCTAGCAAGGAAGTTGATCGGCGACCCCAACCTGGAGTTTGTGGCAATGCCTGCCCTCGCTCCCCCAGAGGTCCAAATGGACCCATCCCTTGCCGCGAAGTATGAGGAAGAGTTACATGTGAGTATGACATACAGGTTCAGTGTCTGTTCAGGTGACTGAATGTAAAATATGTAAATCCAGCAGGTTATTTATCTGAAGAGAAGTGTAGAGGAAAAAACAATGTCTTCTCCCACTGTCCCAGGTTGCATCACAAACGGCACTCCCAGATGAAGAAGATGACCTCTAACCTGTTTGTTCCCTGAAGCCCCGCCCCACCCCACCCTAACTGTGGACAGGAAGTTTTGCCCCCCTTACTGTAAAATCCCTTTTCAGATTTTTTATTTTTGAATTTTTTTGTTTGTTTTAAAACTAAAGAAAAAAACCTGGTGGAAAAGTTGTGGTTCTAATGTCACTGTTTAAGACACACCCACCCTAGTGTTGTCGTCGGCATGGCAACGTGCTATTCTTCATCATTGAGCACCCTCCACTGCACTTACCCAGCTAACATAATGCTGTTGTATGGTGTACTGGAAGCACTAAGGGGAATAAACTTTGAATAAAAACATTGTCAATAAATCATTTGTTTTTGTCTTCTTCCTTGAACAGCAGTGTTCCCACTCTCTCAGGTTTAAGTTAAAAGAAGATCAGATGGGCATTTACTATATTTAAAATAATAAAAATGACTGGTCATAGTAGGCAGAAACACAGGTCAAAGGGATGCAGCTATCATTTTATACACTTGTTTCCTACTGTGAAAGGTCAGTGTCTTTGTTAAAATAAGTGTTGCCATACAGAACATTGCCTACAACATATCCAATACTAATGGATATTCAAATGATGTTTGTCTGCCGATTAAGAGCTTGATTACAAACTGCAGGACAGGCAACTGTTGAGACCTAAATCACCCATGTTCAGTGTAAATCAATAGGAATTTGGTAAGATATTCCTTTAATAGTCCCACAATGGGGAAATTCCAAATTTTACATTTTGTAGGTACCATGTCAACAAATGCAGTTCCTCTTACTGGCTAATGCACCTCCCTCCTATTTTTTTTAGGAGGTAGATGTGTGCCAAAATATTGTTTTAAGAGCCTTATTATAGTCAGAGCCTATTTCTCGATCTTAAATTAACAGTCTTACCCAGAAATCCTTTTGTGAGGTTACTCCCCTCTGGTTGGGTCTGCAGCCATACAATGAAGCTGCCACGTGTATATAGTCTGCTGTGAGCTGGATGGAGATTTGAGAAGAGCAGTGAGGGAGGCGGGTTCAACAGGGGTCCCTAACCGGTGACCATGTGATGGAGCTTTGGTGGGTCAACAGAGGAAAGCGGGCTGTTACTGCAACCCGCTGAACACAGTGACGGCCACCAGGTGTCAGCCGGGTTCTTTCATTCTCAGCGGTGGGCGTTCTCAACAGGATTACGTAATAGTTTCCCTCTGCACGTCCGTTGTGACGTTTCCTACACGGATCCGAACGCTGCTGCGTCACACGCCTTCCAGAATGCGCCAAGAATTCCATAATGCCGACATTCTTTTAACACACATTAGACCTGGTGCTAACGGTAGGGAATGTGTGTCAAATAGAACCACCGTTTTAAACAAATAACTGACAGCTGTAAACGGTTACAAGTGTTTCACCCGGGTTTTTAAGCAATTTACATGCTATGGCACAGTAATATGTTTAAGTAAATATATTTATGATGAATTTAAGTTTGTTTTAAAAATGTATTTGTTTTAGAACTCTTATATGACCTTATCAGCTGGCCCAACTTTATGAAAACAGGTGATTGCTCCCCTCTGATTGGCTGAGGTTGAAGCGCTACCGCCATGGTCTGGTTGATATTGTTTATTTAAATCACGGGTTAAAATGTATGTAGTTCGGTTGCTTTTAATGCACTAAAGTCTTTATGTAATTCAAAAGTCAAAAAGCATGGCTTATCCTGGTGTATTGCTTTTCACCACATCACTGCTAGAATGAGAACTGTTGGTGCGGCATTCAGGTAACATTACAAAAGCGGAAATATGACAGTTCTACCTGATCAGAATGCATACTTTAACATGTGAGGGATTAATTAAATTGGGATCTTCAGGTGCAGTCTGAAAATGCTCATTGAAGTGTAGTAAGTACATTTACTAGTCTACATACAAAATAAATGGGTAAACAAAACTGACAAAATGTATGATGTCCTGTTATACTGGGGTCAATAAAAATATCACTAAAGATACAGTGTCTGAGTAGAGAGATTTATAATTACGAATGAAATTATGCATCATTGAATATTTATAATTTGAATGGTTAGGTGTTCAAATTCAAAAACTTGAGGTAGCAGATCAGACTAGCACTTGCACACACATAATCAATCATAGAGAGAGCATGTGTTGCAACTTGGTAACTCACTATATTTAGCAATTTATCAGACCTACTTAGCGACTATTTCTAAAAAAGTGACTTGTGGCAAATTTAGCAATTTATTCAGACCATCATGGAAAACACTACATTGTAATTATTCCTCATGCACGCTGTTCAGAGTGATCGCAGCCCATGGGTCTCTACCTCTCCTCTTGTGCAGGCAGTCAGTGTGGTGTGTGGGGCATGTTTGAACTTCTCTCTCTCTCTTTCTCTCTTTCTCTCTGGATTAGGGTGTTCCTAGTTTAGCCTATATGTAAATAGTTCCTTTGAGCTTGTAAATATTTAAATAGTTCATCACAAATTCTTCCTCCTGTGTTTTTTAAGTGACTGTAGCAAAACACAAGCTTATTTAAAATGTCCTAAACTTTAAAACTCCCAGAACTTCCATGGTGGGGCTTCATTTCAAGTTATTGAAATAAAGTTATTAAACTATATTCATTATGTAGAATGAAAAAAAGAACTTTAATTTGGGACAATGGTTGTCGAGTCTGGGACAGGTGTGGGACACTGAGGAAGAAAGTTTATTTTGAGGATGAGTGCCTCTTAAAAAATGAAACAACTCTGGGCAGTTTCTTTTTGAATTTCTAATGTTTTGTTGACACAGCTGACTGCCAGTACTGTCAAAGCACCTAATTTGTATATTCCTCTCAGGGTCCATGCCTTCCTCCTCATAAACTGAGTTTGTCATGGCAACATGTCCTCCTGTAGGTTTTGATAGGGCTGTTAGATTTGAACTCCAGGTAATCTTTTGATCATCTTATTTTGTCGCATTGTAAAAGGCCAGAGGGGCCCGCCTCTACTACAGGGAGACATCAAGAGAAGACAATGAGTAATGTGCAGATGTATTTACGCAATGTTGTATTTTGTGGTTTGTGTAGTATAGTAAATATACATACATATCCTACATAATTCACTCTCTGTTCATTCTGGGTACATTTCCACAAATCTAAATGGACTGTCTCCAAACCGGGCTGTCATTATCAACCTAACTTGATCTTCCTACTGAGGAAGTAATATAAACAAAAGGTCCAGAACAGTTACAGAGTGGACCTTGTGGTGAGATTGTTGTCAACCTACTTTCGTCATTTTGTTGTTCCTTATTTAAAAGTGAAGAACAAAGAACCTCAGAAGACTTAAAATAATTTAGATTAATTTGATTTGAGTTGTCCACTTCAATGTATGCAAGATGAAGCCTATTTCCTCTTCTTTCCCTGGGCAGGTCGATGTTAAAGCAGAGACATACTTAAAGATATTATAATATTATTCCTACATTGCCTGAATGCACCATTGCTGCAGGTGGCTCAGGGCGTGGCTTCATCTGAGTGAACGGGGGACTTGTCTGCGCATGTGTGAGCCAGAAAAGTGCGTTTTAGAATGATTACTGGTGGGCAGCGGAGGCAGATTATACGGCTCTACACAACTGTTGTTTTAATCCCCTGAGCGAGGAGATTTAGCAAAGAAAAAACACTGTTTTTAAACCCAGCAGCCATATTGTATGGAAAAACGACGGAAAGACTCTTCTTTTCAGAAAAAGTGGTTTTCTCAGACGCCTCTGTCAAGACTTTTGTGGAGTTTAATTCTCCTTCTTACTGGCGCTGGGTCTCTGTCGGACAGCTAGTTTGCCAGCTGGCTGAGGAATTCAGAGATTGGGGCTGGTTTTTGAGCCGTTTTACACCATTGTGGTTATCTCTTTGGTTTGAAGGTGTGAAATTGACCGTCTGAAAGATGAAGGACCGATTGGAGCAACTTAAAGCGGTAAGAAGAGTCCAGGAAATGTGAAGTTTCCTTACTTTTTTTTTTTTCCTCCAGTATTGTCTCTGCACTTTAATGCCACTCTGATAAATGTTTCTTCTTGTAGGAAGAAATGAGAGATACAGATAAATAAAAATATATATTATATGCATGCATTTCTACTATTACTTATTAAACCTTTAACTTAAACAATTGACACGTCATTTTCTAATTTGAGCCAATAGTGTACCATGTGATGACATAACTAGATGTAGTAACACTGCAGGTTGGAAAGGGATTTGAAATGGGGATGTTAGGTAAAAGTCATTCAGACACCACTTTCTGTTTCTTTGCACCCAGCCATGGTGTGACAATTAAGTGCCGGAGATGTACTGTAATATAGTGTAATTAATAGTGTAATTGTTATTAGTGTATTAGCAGATGTCATATTAAGCGTTGTGCTGCTGCCATTGATTGCAGTAATATGATGTAAAGCTGTGTATAAGCAAATAGTAATACATTTTCCCAGCCTTAGCAGTATCAGGTATCAGTATCATTCTGTTTTCCTGTCAGTTGTCATGAAAGCTGGGAAGATAAGTCGATTAGTTGATCTGTGGGGAATCAGATGGCAAAGGTTCAAGCAAAAATGTCAAAATATCTGGTCCCAGTGTCTTAAATGTGTTTTTTACATTAGTGTTCATTGACAATCTGTGGGTTTTGGACTGTTTTCCAGATAAAAGACGTCACTTTGGACTTTATGGACGTCTTTTATAGTATTTTTTAAAATAAATAAAATGATTATTTAACCATCAATGTTGATGTACTGCTAGAAACGGGTTAAACTGTTAACAATACAAATATAATGGTCAAAGTAGAGAGTTTTAAGAATGGGTACAGGATCTACTGTTGGGTTGGACTGAACCAAAATCCTCTCTACCTTTTCTGTATTTATCCATCACAGCAGTAACATAGAAATCGTTTCCCTATTCAAAATTGAGCTAATTACAACACGAGCTGTGCATAGCAGCGAGGCCTTGATCCAGTTGTAATCCAGGTTGGGATGTGTTGCCATGGCTGCCTGAAACTGCTGGCCAAATATTTGCTGTGTTTGAAGTTGCTGAACTGCGGTATCCCCCTCCAGGCGTCTCACACAGCTGACTTCTTTTCAGAGAAAGGAAGTACAGATGGCAAGTGAAGTGGGTCAGTTGTTTGTTGGGAAGTTGCCGGTATATATTAAAGGTGCAGTGTGAAACAATTAGGTGGATCTGTTGGCACAAATGGAATATTATATTCATAGGTTTGTTTTCAGTAGTGTATATTCACCTGAAAATAATCACAAAATCATTTTGCAGCACAAATCCTTCACACTGGTTTAAAAATGTTCTCTGGTCCCGTTTGCCCCATTCCACGACTTTTCCAATCTCTACTCCTCTCTTTCTTTATCTTTCTTTCTTACTGTCCACCTTTTGTTTTCCTCCTCCAGTGAGCCATATGTTGATGTGAATATGGACTCATGCCAACACCAGTGTGATCACCTGATATATTGTAGGCCTCAGGAAAAAAGGAGCATCAAGAAACGACTTGTAGTTTTACCTGGAGTTATGGTCACATGTGATAGCTTACACTGCATGCTGTTCAGTAAGCTTTAAAGTTGATACTGTTGCCATGTTTGCCAAATTTCGTTACCATATTACCCGGACTGAAGGATGAGTTTAATCAAGTTTTCTGTCATTCAGGCTTTCTGTTCCCTCGTGGTATTTTCATATGTGCTTTCAGTCAGAATTATATGGTTTTCAGTTCTTTGTGCACAGTGTTTCCTCACACTATGATACAGGCCTGAAGCGCTGCCAGCGTTACTTTACTTCCCCACCTCGGATATTGGCACAGTGAATGGAGAAAAAGCTAACAGAACTAATATGGCTTCTTCTGTGACACATGGAGTTTTTAAATCCCTTGTTAGGTTTTAGCGTAGCATTAACACAAGTCCTGATGGGAGAATTTTGGCTTCTGTCACCATGCTGCTGTAAATCTGACCCCAGGTCCCCGCCCTGCTGCTGCTACTAGCTCATTTTCTGAATCATCCCGTGGGAAAATGTAGTGCACACAGTTATTTTTATTATTAACCATCGCAGCTTCCTGAGGTGATATCATTAAATTGCTCGTGTCGTCCGAAGATTTTCCGGTACTGTTTCGTCATTTACGATCCTCAGGGGACAAAGTCTGACAGTTAATCAGCTCCCAGTTTCTTAAAGATGACGGAGGAAAGATAGTGGACATTCACCGAGGCCACGATTGGAGTCAAACTTGTGGATTGTGTTTACATAGTTTTGTACATGATGATGAGTTACAGAGCTCACAGGTAGTTACTGTGCCTGAATATATGCTCAATTTACCATAGTAGTGTAGAGGCTGATGGGATAGGCTCAGTCTTTACCAGTGCGTGTGTCTTTTAGTGCTTTTCTATAGGGGTTTAATCAGTCACATTTGATCTGACTCTCCAGAAGGACCAGTAATACAATAATACAATTCCAGCTAGTCAGTTAGTTGAATTGGAGCGGCAGAGGATCACTATGTCGGCTTCAGTGTAATACCTCGGTCCAGTCATTGCTTTGTTGAGGGGAATTACGCAACGTGACATATGGTGCTTGGTTAGCAGAACAAACGTAATTGAGTGATTTGAATAAAAGGAACAAACCAGCATCCGAGCTATCCATCACTCACACGCTAATGTACAGTACGCGTTGTATTTTTAATATATATCTAAAATCCATGCCCAGTTGTTCAGATGTTGTCCAGTGTGTTTAAGGTTTTGATGATTACCCAATCTTCATGTAAGCATGAGATTATAGCATTTGTGTCGATTTCGGT